AGCAAGCTGTATAAAATTAAAAACTGCATTTTATAGACAGATTGTTCTTTAGTGTAATGATATATAGGGTGGGCAGAAGTAGATTTACAGTTGTTCATATAGAAAATAATACAATAATTAATAAATAATAATACAAGAATAAACTCTGTGTATCCCGTACTCACAACTGTAAACCTACTTTTGCCATAACCTGTATTGATTTTTGTGTATGTTAATTTGTATATTAAATTTATTTGGCTAAATGAAAATGTACATTTTATAATCTATTTATCATAACAGACAGTTGCTTTATGTGATAGTTTTGTTCTTTTGTTGTACTAGTATAATGTTCTTTCCTCTTTAAAAATTTATTTTTCAATTACAGTAGTAAAATGTGTTTTATTTCCAATAACCAGTGCTCTCATATTATACTAAAAAATTTGAAAGCTTTTTTATAATATTTAATAAGTCTAGAAGTTAAAATGCTGCATGGGAAACAATAACAGCGAACACATTAGCATTTGCTTTTAAGTGTTGTATCACTTATATTAATTAGAGTAGAATGTTGAGAATATGGGTGGTTACTTAGTCATGGAAAGAAAAAAGTAAGACTTGTTTAGTAAATTGAAAAGAAATTAGGAAAGTGATTTTCTCTAAATTGCACTTCTACTCAAATGCACTCCCCAAGTTCCAGTTATTTTCCTAATTATATTTTATATTTCATGAATTTTTAAACCTCTTTGTGCACTTTATGCTTTTGGTTGGAAATTAAACATCAATTGGATTTCAATTAAAAATGTAGTTTTTAAAGATGCTATTTTAGCAAGGTATTTGCCTTGGAATAATAGTAATAGTAATAAAAATGCATCTAATGACTACTTTAAAATTTATAAAATACTTTCCTATACAGAGGCAGTGTGGTGTCATGGAAAGACCTGAGGCTTTAACTTCACATTTGAGTATGAACCCCAACTTAGCCATGTACATTCTGTTACTCATTCTTCTTGAGACTCAAGTTTCTCATCTGTAAAATGAGGATAACATCTGTGTTGAAATGTTGTGAATCTATAATAATAAAAGTGTAATATGCTAATTAGACCAGACATCCTTCCAGATGACCTTCCAGACGAAGCCGGGACTGCGAGGGAAGCCCGGGTCCCAGGTGCCAGAGGGAAGCTGGTGCCAGCAGCAGGGGAAGGAAGGCCTACTCTTGCACGAATTTCATGCGCCGGGCCTCTAGAATTAAATAAGAACCAATGTATGCAATGATCTTAGCATGAAATAGTAGCCTTATAAACCCCAAGTATTTAATCTTAATAATTGTAGTAAGAAGTAGGTTTTATTTCTATTTTATAGATGAGTCACCTGAGGCTAGGCCACTGATCCAGGGTCACCAGATCTGTTGTGTTTTTGTTTGTTTTGTTTTAGTTGAAAATCCATTATTATTATTTTTAATTTTTTTATTTTTTAATTTACTGGGGTGACATTGGTTAATATGATCATATAGGCTTCAGGTTTGGGTTTCTATGTTACAAGATCTGTATCTTGCACTGTGTGCCCACAGCAAATCTGTTTTATGACTCCAAGTTTTGGGCACTTCACTCCCTTCAGCTGCTTTTGGAGCAAGATTGCAAAAACTGCTAAAATAACATTAATTATTAAATGTGACCACTCAGATGCGATTTAGCTTTCCTTAAGGCAGCAATTCTTAGTCCTTTTTCCCCTCTGACACATATGTGATGCTCAAGGAAGCTGAGACATTAGCTGAAGCTCCATCCTTTTCCCTCCTGCTTAAAAAAAAAATCATAGAAGGAGAATGTCTGTTAATAGGGATAACCTGTAACCCACCCCATTCTCAACCCTCCTAGTATTTAATAATGATAAGTTTCATTGAACACATTTCACAGCTTATTGCAATGCATCACAGTTGGGGACCACTGGATAAGATATGTCCTAGGGAGAATAAGTTGTTCAGGGTTTCTGTTGGAGAATGATGAAAAAGATTGGTGGGGCCAGTAGGCGTCTAAAAAAAAATAAGACATGATCTCATAGGCAATCAGAGGTTCTCGAGTAGGAAAGCAACAGGATTAAAATGGTGGTATTCAGAAGAAACCAAGATGGCGGCATAGGTAAACACCGGAGTTAGCTGCCTCGAACACCCACTTCAAAAATACAACTAAAAGACGGAATGGACATCGCCCAGAACCACAAGAAGACTGGCTGAGGGGAAATTCTTCAACTAGAAGGAAAGAGAACAGCATATGAGACTCAGAGGAGGCGCAGTGCAGAAAATATAAAGGTGAGGAGGTACGCGCAGAGCGGGCTGGTAGCTGAGGGCGTGGTTGTCGTTTTCAATCAGGAGGGAGGCTCAGGCTCAGAGATCCAGTTCTGGGCGAGTCTCTAGGGTCCCAGACTCAAACGGGAGAAGCAGGACTGTCTGGCATCGGTCGGAACGCGAGGGCAGCTTTCTCTCCGAGGTTTGCAGGCGTTGCTGGGACTCTG